TGATGTGGAATTTCTCCCCTTTCTGGAAGGTGAGGTCATCCTCCGTCCTGGCCTCGTAGTCGTACAGGGCGATGAAGAGGGTCACCCCCCCACCTGTGGCACGTGGAGGGGACCACGGTGAGTCCCTGAGTCCCCCCCAAAAATGCCAGCACTCTAGGGGTGCAGCCAGACCCCCCTCCCTAATTCCTCCCCCCCCCTTTCTCCCTGCTGACCTGTGATGCCACCGCTCCTCATCTGCAGCGTGTTGGAGGTGAATACGCCCTGCCCCGAGAAAGAGGGGGTGGAGGGCACCCCCCCGGCCTGGAAGTTGTTGAAGTCGGGGATTCGGGTGAAGACGGCGCCCGGTTGCGTGGGGTCGGGGTCGTACTGGGAAGCGGGGGGCGGGGGGGACCCCACTTCACCTCCCGCCTGCCCTTTGCCGGACCCCTTCTCTTTGCAGTGCACACAGCCCATCCTGGGGCACGGCCTGTGGGGCAGAGGGACACTCAGCCCCACGTGTGTGTGTCCCCCCTGGCAGGGCACACACGTGTGCACACGCGTGTGCACACACGCTCCCAGTTAGAGGCACTGGGGTGCACGGCGTGAGCCCTGGGAGAAGTGGAGGGTCCTGCCCCCCCCTGGCACAGCAAAGGGGGTGACTGTGATGTGGGGACACCAGGGTCCCCCTCGGGGGGTGCCACCGGCAGGGACAAGGTTGGGAGGGGGTCTGTGCTGCCCCCCGTGTCCCCCTCCCTCCCCACCACCCGTGGGTGCTCCCTTTCGTGGTGACCCCACTCACTGCGACGGCTCCTCGGGTCACTTCAGCTGCTCCATCCCGTCACCTCGGGGAGGAGAAGAGGCACCTGCGGGCACCAGGGAGGGCATCAGGCGGGGGAGAAGAGCCCTGCACAGGCTGCAACACCCCTACATGGGCTGCAACACCCCTCCAGGTGCTGACACCCCCCCCTGCATGAGTTAAAACACCCCCTGCACGGGCTGCAACACCCCTCCAAGGTCTGCAACACCTCTCCAAGGATCAAAACACCCCTGCATGGGCTGAAACACCCCTCCAAGGGCTGCAATACCTCTCCAAGGGCTGCAACACCCATCCAAGGGTTGAAACCCCCCCTGCATGAGCTAAAACACCCCCTGCATGGGCTGCAACACCCTTCCAAGGGCTGCAATACCCCCTGCATGAGCTAAAACACCCCTCCAAGTGCTGAAACAACCATCCAAGGGTTGAAACACCCCCTGCATGAGCTGCAACACCCCTCCAAGGGCTGCAACACCCCTCCAAGGGCTGCAATACCCCCTGCATGAGCTAAAACACCCCTCCAAGTGCTGAAACAACCATCCAAGGGTTGAAACACCCCCTGCATGAGCTGCAACACCCCTCCAAGGGCTGCAACACCCCTCCAAGGGCTGCAACACCCCCTGCACGGGCTAACACCCCTGGCCAGGCTGCAACACCCCTTCAATAGGTGCAACACCCCCTACATGGGCTGCAACACCCCTCCAAGGGTTGAAACACCCCTCCAAGGGTTGAGACACCCCTCCAAGGGCTGAAACACCTCTCCAAGGGGGTGAAACACCCCCTGCATGGGCTGCAACACCCCCTGCATGAGCTGCAACACCCCTCCAAGGGCTGAAACACCCCTCCAAGGGTTGAGACACCCCTCCAAGGGTTTAAACCCCCCCTGCATGAGCTAAAACACCCCCTGCATGGGCTGCAACACCCCTCCAAGGGCTGCAACACCCCTCCAAGGATCAAAACACCCCTACATGGGCTGCAACACCCCTCCAAGGGCTGAAACAACCATCCAAGGGTTGAAACACCCCCTGCATGAGCTAAAACACCCCTCCAAGGGCTGCAACACCCCTGCATGGACTAACACCCCTCCAAGGGCTGCAACAGCCCTTCAATAGCTGCAACACCCCCTACATGGGCTGCGACACCCCTCCAAGGGCTGCAACACCCCTCCAAAGGTTGAAACACCCCCTGCATGAGCTAAAGCACCCCCTGCATGGGCTTCAACACCCCTCCAAGGGTTGAAATACCCCTCCAAGGGCTGCAACACCCCTGCATGGGCTAACACCCCTCCAAAGGCTGCAACAGCCCTTCAATAGCTGCAACACCCCCTGCATGGGCTGCAACACCCCTCCAAGGACCGAAACACCCCTCCAAAGGTTGAAACACTCCCTGCATGAGCTAAAACACCCCCTGCATGGGCTGCAACACCCCTCCAAGGGCTGCAACCCCCCCTGCATGAGCTAAAACACCCCCTGCATGAGCTGCAACACCCCTGCATGAGCTGCAACACCCTTCCCAGCCTGCAAACCCCCACACGGGCTGCAACCACATCCTCCAGTGGGTTTTTCTCCCTCCCTGTCCCCACCAAACCCCTCTACCTGGTCTACGAAGGGAGACGCGTGTTGTGTGTCTCCAAGGGCTGCAACACCCCTCCAAGGATCAAAACACCCCTGCATGGGCTGCAACACCCCTCCAAGGGCTGAAACACCCCCTGCATGTGCCACAACACCCCCGTCACAGGCTTAGGTACCCCTGCATGAGCTAAATCACTCCTGCATGGGCTGCAATACTCCTGCAAGCACCACAACACCCCTGCCACGGGCTTAGGTCTCCCTCCCTGTCCCCACCAAGCCCATCTACCTGGTCTACGAGGGGAGACGCGTGTTGTGTGTCCCCCCCCTCCCAGCCCCATGGCTGCCCCGAGGTTGGAGGGAGCCTGGGGTGGGTGGAAAAGAGCCCCCGGCAGCGTCCTCGTCCCCGTCCCCCCAGTTTCGGGCAGGGGAAGTGGTGACTGGGGGGAGGAAGGGCTCTGCTCCCCGCGCTGCGGTCAGGGCTCTTCCGGCCAGGGCCACGCTCGACAGAGAAGGTGTCACGGAGGAGGAGGAGGAGGAGGAAACCGGACGTCTCCCGCCAGGGCTGCACCAAAACATGGCTGTCCCCCAGCCCTGTCACCTCCCATGGGTGCCGGCCACCCACCCAGACCAGTCTGCCCAGTTTGGACCCTCCAAGGGTTGAGACACCCCTCCAAGGGCTGAAACACCTCTCCAAGTGCTGAAACACCCTTCCAAGGGTTTAAACCCCCCCTGCATGAGCTAAAACACCCCCTGCATGGGCTGCAACACCCCTCCAAGGGCTGCAACACCCCTGCATGGACTAACGCCCCTCCAAGGGCTGCAACACCCCTGCATGGACTAACGCCCCTCCAAGGGCTGCAACACCCCTGCATGGACTAACGCCCCTCCAAGGGCTGCAACACCCCTGCATGGACTAACGCCCCTCCAAGGGCTGCAACACCCCTGCATGGACTAACGCCCCTCCAAGGGCTGCAACACCCCTGCATGGACTAACGCCCCTCCAAGGGCTGCAACACCCCTGCATGGACTAACGCCCCTCCAAGGGCTGCAACAGCCCTTCAATAGCTGCAACACCCCCTACATGGGCTGCGACACCCCTCCAAGGGCTGCAACACCCCTCCAAAGGTTGAAACACCCCCTGCATGAGCTAAAGCACCCCCTGCATGGGCTTCAACACCCCTCCAAGGGTTGAAATACCCCTCCAAGGGCTGCAACACCCCTGCATGGGCTAACACCCCTCCAAAGGCTGCAACAGCCCTTCAATAGCTGCAACACCCCCTGCATGGGCTGCAACACCCCTCCAAGGACCGAAACACCCCTCCAAAGGTTGAAACACTCCCTGCATGAGCTAAAACACCCCCTGCATGGGCTGCAACACCCCTCCAAGGGCTGCAACCCCCCCTGCATGAGCTAAAACACCCCCTGCATGAGCTGCAACACCCCTGCATGAGCTGCAACACCCTTCCCAGCCTGCAAACCCCCGCACGGGCTGCAACCACATCCTCCAGTGGGTTCTTCTCCCTCCCTGTCCCCACCAAGCCCATCTACCTGGTCTACGAGGGGAGACGCGTGTTGTGTGTCCCCCCCCTCCCAGCCCCATGGCTGCCCCGAGGTTGGAGGGAGCCTGGGGTGGGTGGAAAAGAGCCCCCGGCAGCGTCCTCGTCCCCGTCCCCCCAGTTTCGGGCAGGGGAAGTGGTGACTGGGGGGAGGAAGGGCTCTGCTCCCCGCGCTGCGGTCAGGGCTCTTCCGGCCAGGGCCACGCTCGACAGAGAAGGTGTCACGGAGGAGGAGGAGGAGGAGGAAACCGGACGTCTCCCGCCAGGGCTGCACCAAAACATGGCTGTCCCCCAGCCCTGTCACCTCCCATGGGTGCCGGCCACCCACCCAGACCAGTCTGCCCAGTTTGGACCGGGTAGAGCATCCCAGTGGAGAGCTCTGCAGCCCGAGGGTGGAGGGAAGGCGCCACAAAGCCCTGCTTCGCCTGGCAGCCACCTCCTGTCCCCTTCAACTGGGAGAAGAGGAGGGGATGGAGGGTTTTTTGGGGGTGGATGAGGCGTTTCAGGTGGTTTTTCCCCATCACGCTCTTGGGTTGACTTTCCAAGAGGACCGGGTAGAGCATCCCAGTGGAGAGCTCTCCTGGCCAAGGGTGGAGGGAAGGCGCCACGAAGCCCCGCTTTGCCTGGCAGCCACCTCCTGTCCCCTTGGACTGGGAGAGCAGGAGGGGATGGAGGTTTTTTTGGGGGTGGATGAGGCGTTTCAGGTAGTTTTTCCCCATCACGCTCTTGGATTGACTTTTCAAGACTTTAGGGAGAACTTTGTAGAGTTGATGGTTGGACTCGGTGATCCCAAGGGTTCAGAGAAGGGCGACAAAGATGGTGAGGGGTCTGGAGGGCCCGAGAGGTGATTGTCCCCCTGTACTGGGCACTGGTGAGGCCCCACCTCGAGTACTGTGTCCAGTTTTGTGAGGGGTCTGGAGCACAAGTCTTGTGAGGAGAGGCTGAGGGAGCTGGGGTTGTTCAGCCTGGAGAAGAGGAGGCTGAGGGGAGACCTTCTGGCTCTCTCCAACTCCCTGAAAGGAGGGTGTAGAGAGGTGGGGGTCGGTCTCTTTTCTCAAGTCCCAGGCGACAGGACAAGAGGAAATGGCCTCAAGTTGCACCAGGGGAGGTTCAGGCTGATTATTAGGAAAAATTTTTTCCCTGAAAGGGTTCTCAGCCATTGGAATGGGCTGCCCAGGGAGGTGGTGGAGGCACCATCCCTGGAGGTGTTCAAAAGAGGGGTTGATGTAGTGCTGGGAGGTCTGGTTTAGTGATGATGCTCCTTGTTTGTTGTGTGGGTGTCTATTTTTGTCAGTCAGGTTGACGGTTGGACAAGATGATCTTTAAGGTCCCTTCCAACCTGGAAGATTCTGTGATTCTGGGATTCTATGATTCCTCTCTCTCATTGGTGTGTGTGTGTGTGTGTGTGTGGAAAGGGCCCAGTTCTCCCCCCTCTTCCACCTTCTCTTTCACCACCAGCAGTGTGGCAAGACGGCGGCCGTTGCAGACGGGGCAGCGTTGCCAAATCCGGGAGGATTTGGCTGGTTGGGGCTCAGTGGGGGTTTTTTTTGCCGACAACAAGTGGCCATTTCAGCCGACGGACACCCCCATCTCCTCCGGGTGGGAATCACATCCCCCCCTTCCCCCCCGTTGCCGGCATCGGGCTCACAAACTTCCCATTCGGTTGAATTTCGGTGTCTGATGGGGGTTGGAAGATACAAGGAGCATCTTCCAGGCAAGCTCTAACCCAAAATATCAGGGATTTTTTGCTCCTCGTGCCATGACCAGCAACATTGCACCCATGGTTGCCCTTCTCCGGGCACCCACACCCCCCCAACCTGCAATGGTCCCTGCCCGATGTTGGCATCTGGCCCCAGTTCTCCCCAAAAAGGAGCCTTTTGGAGCTTTGGGAGCAGATGGCAACCGAGCCCTTCCCACCCCGGCTCCACCGGCACCGCTCCCGGCCGAGCTGCCAGCTCCCGCCCCGCGCTGAGACCCAGCCAACTCATCACCCCCTGCCCCGCCGGGCACCGTGCAGCCACATCCCCATCCCTCCATCCATCCATCTGCTCCATGACCCCCACATTGGGACACGGGTGGTTTCAGCCCCCATCCCTGTCTCCAAACCGGGGTGTCCGTGTCCCGGTACATGCTGGTGCCCTCCATGCCTGTCCCACCCCCCTTTGCCCTGTACCCCCCTGTCCTTCCTTGTGTGGCCCTGTGCCCCCCGTGGCTCTGGCCACAGTGCCACAACCTCCCTTTTTGGGGGTGGGGGGAAGAGGAACGGGGGGGGGGGGGGGGGGGGGGATGCAGCCTTACGGAGAGACACAGGGGGCTGCTGGCAATGCCACGCTCCCAGGGCCGTGGGGACAAGGCAGGGTGGCATTTGCCAGGCTGAGGGTGGCACCCGGGCACGCCAGGGCTCCCCAAAGAAGGGCAGCAGCCGGAGGAACCCTGTGGCACCTTCCGAGGCAGCTGGAGGAGGAAGCAGCAGGAGC